TTAAGATAAAACCTTTACTTATTCTACTTATTTTTCAGACTGAAAGAAGCTTTTAGAGAACCAAGATTAGAATCTCTTTTTTTCTGATCATCATTCCAGTTGTTTCTAAAAAGAATTTTCACTTTTTAAAAATTATACAATATATGAATACAATCTCAATTTCAAACAACACTAAAATAGCTAAAGGCAGGTTTATTATACCCATTCTATTCCAATCTCCAAAACTGACTACTGTTAACTATCTAGAAAATACTGTAATTTGAGGTCTTTCTATAAAAACATAGGACCTAAAAAACAAACAAAAATATGACCTATGGACATATACAGCATTTTCTTTTGTTTTTAAGCACATGAAAACATGTCCATTCAATATTCTTTGGAGAGTTTTGTACGTCTGCTTCATTCTTTTGGCTACTGCAGAGGAGTTCTAGTATGAACCTGCAGTAAGAGATAATACAAGGAGTTACCCCAAAAACCTGGAATTGGGCTGGGCAGAGCAGAGCTTTTGTAGTACACGTTTCCCACTAGGTGAGCATCAAGGAACTTGGTCTGATTTAGTGCACCCAGTGATGTCACCTGGGAAGGTTCTCTCTGGTCACAGTGAATTTTTTTCATAAAAGCAGTTTCGGTAGAACCTCATTTTTTGTGTTGGCAATTTAATCGAAGAGTGTGCAGCTATGAAATTTTGTTGCCTGCTTGGGAAAAATGCAGCAGAAACTACTGTGATGTTGAACACAGCTTACAAGGATAGAGCTATGGGAAAAACTCAAGTGTACGAGTGGTTTTCTCATTTCAAAAAAGGTGAAATGTTGACTGATGACAAACTTTGTTATGGACATCTGTCAACTTCCCAAATGACTTGTAGGGTATTTGGAGTTCGTTCCACCAGGTCAGACTATTGATCAAGCTTTCCATTTAGAGGTTCTGAAAAGATAGTGTAAGTGTGCAACAAAAAAGCCTGATTTGTGGCAGATGGGGGCCTGGGTTTGCCACCACAACATTACACCTGTTCACACAGTCAGATTTTGGCAAAAAGCAGTATGCCTCTTGCCCCACACACCTGACTCATCTGACCTTGCTCCATGCAACTTCTTTTTGTGTCCGCGAATGAAAAGGGACATGAAAGAACAGCTATTTGATGACTTAGAAAAAGTAAAGAAAAAGATAAAGGAGGTGCTATCAGCCATCCAAACAGATGAGTTTGAAAAATTTTTCCAAGAATGGAAAAGTAGATTTGACAAATGTATTATTAAGTGTAATGGAGAGTACTTTGACGGGATAAGGTTGTTTTGTAAAAACTTTAAATACACAGCTTTGCGGGGGCGGAATTCATGTTTTTTTGAGCTGGGGGGCACCCCTCGTATGCACTGCATACAATGTGCCAGTCATTGCTGTACGCATTTTCCATGTATTTACCTCCTTAAGTCCTCAAAATAAATGTAGAATTATTTTCTTATTTATTGATAAGGTCTGTCTAGGCTCACACAGTAAGTGGTGAAGGAAGGATTCAAACATAAGCATATTGCCTCCAAATTTTACATCTTTAACCATTATGTTATACTGCTTCTGTAAGTTTCCTTAGTGCATTCTCTATTACCAGTTCTTCCATATTATAATATAAAAATGCTGCAATCATTTATAACTGATAGTTTTGCTTTTTTGTGATATTAATAAATAATGTGTGTAATGCTGCTACTGTTGTTCTTTCTTTATGAAAGACTCTTAGACTCTCAGTTTGTTTTCAAGGCACATGCAAAGTACTGTGTAAATATTTTCTAGAAATAATTGTGAAAACTGACCTTAAGAGATTCTTTTTTTGTTAGCTTGCTTGAAGTAGAACTGTCTTTCTCCAGGCCATTATAAAGCTTAGATTCAGACTGAAATCACATAGACATGAACAGAAGAGAAATAGTCATTATTCTACACATATGACATATAAAGATAAATCCTAAAGCAGTTTTTTACTTTATTCCCATTTAAAGTTATGATTTATGTAAATGTCAATTTTTAAATATCAATTTTATCCTATATAGTATCTGTTTAAGAAGTAACAAGGCCGTGTGAACATGTGTGCACACACATACACACACTTTCATCCACAAATTACAATATGAAGTTAAATAAGATCATTTGTAAATTTTTGCATACTTTTTTCCAGAATATTTTTAAGGAACATATATAATTATTTATAGTTACTCTTAGGACAAAAGTAGCTGGGGCAATGCAATTGTCTAATGCTTAAAGTTACTTTAAAACACTC